TGTCCTCCCCTGGGACATGATGGAGACCAAAGCATCAGGGAGGTGCAGAAAGTGAGATGGAGGTGCCACGAATAAGGAAGGAGATAGGGGAAAGAGAGAGAGAGAGAGAGAGATTTCTTCCCAAAGGAAGGGAACTCAGGGTCAGACAAAGACTGAACTGGGCAGGGAGTTGGTGAAGCCAACTCTGCTTCCCAGTGAACGGTTGGGATGGAGTGTATCCAACACCCAATCTATTTTGTACTCTCTTCCGTTACGTTCATAAAATCAAGAATAGACCCCATGCAACCAGAGACCGAGGAGCCCCTTTCCTACCAAGAAGGCTCTCTCCTGTGTTGGAGGAGCAGCAGCAGTCACAATAAAACATGTCTCCTTTGGAAACAAATCAAGGTGAACGATCCTAAGGAGTTCTGCTATCAACAGAAATAGAATTTACCATATTTTTCTGTTGATAAGACGTCTTGATGTATAAAACGCCCCCCAGTTTTCTAAAGACAAATTAGAAAATCTGCTTGCTGCTTTCCCCGCCACTTCCTAAGCCTGGGCTTACAAAAGGAGGAGGAAAGCAGCAATCAAAGAATAGCATGATATGTTTGATCCCTTCCGCCCGCCACTTGTTTTTGTTCTCTCCTCAGTTTACTTCCATGTATAAGAAGACCCTGAATTTTTAGTCAAAAGATTTTAGACAAAAGGATCATCTTCTAGACGAACAAATAAGGGACATCTAATTTCAATAGAATAGCAACCAACTTGGCCATGGATGCAGGCTTTATAATAGTACATGGGGGCTCAGAGAAAATGCTCTCACCTTCTCCTCTTCCTGCCTCTTCTCCTCGGCCTGGCTTAGGAGGAAGCCTTCGGCCAGGGCCACCGCCTGGGAACTGCTCTCCGCTCCACATTCCCTCACCCAGCTGGACATCACCGGGGGAAGGATGGCCAGGAACTGCTCCAGGATCACCAGGTCCAGGATCTGAATATTCGTGTGCTTTTCTGGCTTCAGCCACTGATGGCAGAGATGGTGGAGTTGGGTGCAAGCTTCTCGGGGGCCCTCCGCCTCCTTGTAGGTGAATTGTCTGAAGCGCTGACACTGCTCCTGTGAGCTGATGATGTGTCCATCCAGGATATCCTGGCTCTTTCTTTCCCATGATTCCCCACTCCTTCCACTCTGCATCCTACGGGGGTCACTTTGTACTCCAGCGCCAGCCGAGTCTTCTTTCTCCATCTTCAAACCGTGCTGCAAGGAAACCTCCACTGGAATCAAAGAACAACACTCTTGAATTCTCTTTTATTTATTTAAAATATTTTAACCACACCTTTCTCCTTGAAAAGCAGCATTCACAGCGGCTTACATCATTATAAAAAAACAACATTTAAAAGCTAAAAAGAGTACAAATACCTAAACAGAATTAAAGAAATACTATTTTTAAATGGGAAACCAAATCAGTACTAAAAACATATTAAAAAGCAACAAGTCACAACAATCCATTTAAAAACCTCTCCATCAGTTGGTGGTTTTTTTCTTCTTTCTTCCTCCGTTTTCTATATTTTGCAGGGCTGGCCGTCCCTGTTGGAAAAACAAATAAGTCCTCCAGCCTTTCTTTTCCTGTTGGGGGTCCCCGCTGCTGCCCCCTTTTTCTGATTTAGACATTTTCAAAAACTTCTGGGAATCTTGTAGCCATATTAAGAGACTTTCAAAAAAAACAAAACCTTAGAAAAAAGGGGGCCCCTGTCCTATGGGCGATGGGGAGCCATACCGGGGCGTCCAGAGGGGGTCGCGGGCAGAGGCGCCGGGTTTGGTGGGGGGGGGAGAGAGCTCCCCTTCTGCTTCAGGCAACCCAGGAAGGAGGAGGATCTCGGGCTGCCCTCATCCAGCCCTGCCGGGACTCCCCTCCCTCCTTCCCTCCCTCCGAGTTGCCCTGCCAGCCTCTCCCCCGAACTCGGCCTCCCCCACAAAGGCCGGAAAAGCCCGAAAAGGGCTCCCCTCGAAGCCTCCCCCGCCCGGGCAACCCCGCCGGAGGAAGGGAAGCGGCTCAACCCCTCACCGTCTCTGGGGGGGGGCTTGACGGGGATCCTCCTCTCGAGGAGGCGCCTCCCTCCCTCGGCCGGTCTGGGTTGGGGGGCAGAGAAAGAGAGTTTGGGGTCCCCCCACCCCAAGGGGGCTCCTCTGCCACCCTCTCCGGAGGGGGCTCGGCTTCACCCCCTGACAGGGCCAGGCAGGGAACTCAGCTCGCCCAGGAACGGAAACGCCGCCCAGCCGCCCCGGGAAGGAGCTCAAGCCCCCGTTTCTCTCCGGAGGTTGAAAAACGAGGGACAGGAAGGGAGGTTTCTTTTGGAAGAGGGCACTTCCTGTGATTGATTCACCGCTTCCCCTCTAGGAAGACCAACTCACTGCCTTTAACCCTTAGAGAACCGGGACAACACGCACGCCCCCTTTCTGCCTCTCCCGCAACACGACGAAAGAAACATCCTTCCCAACAGGATACATTCGGTTTTGCTCCTCTGGATTTGCACCACTCTCACCTTTACCTCTTTCATCACCGTTTCCAAGACCCAGCAGCAACATGTGAGGGAAATATAATAAACAGACTTGGAAACAAAGAAAGATTTCTATATTTTCAAAAATGTTAAGGATAAAATCATTAAATATTCTAAGCAATGCAGTTCGGTAAAGTTTTAATCTTATTTACTTTTCCTTTAATATGAAGTTCCCGAAGTTCTATACTTCTTCCGATGCCGGGAAAAGTGGAAGACATTCAGTTATATGGAGTCCCAAAAAGAAGGGACAATATTTAGCAAGAGCTGATTGAGGCTAGTAGTAAAAGGCAGGGATGGAAACTCCAGTCGAGCGACTTCAGGAAATGATAAAAGTAACAAAGTCGGAGTTAAGTCACACTGATAACTGGACTCGTTTTTTTCTCCAATGATTCAGACTCAACTCAGAACACACTCCTCCTTTTTTGGAGTGGAAAAAGCTTGTTTTTAATAAGCACTCAAGGCTTGGTAACAAAGACCCATATTTGGGACTTGGGCCCAAAAACTTGCCTCCATCCCTGAGAGAAGCCGGCTCTGGAGGTCATTAAATCACAGGATCTCCGGAAGTCAGGACAGAACACCTATATTTGTGCTGGAGATGGCTTAGAAACTTTTAAAATAAAGAAAAGCAGATAAAAACATATAGCATAACAAAAAAAATATGATAGAAATCTGACTTGCCATCATCTGATTCATACCAAGCTATTAAAATTAAAACCAAAATAATAGCAAAAGATGCAGATACACAAATGGAAAAAAACCGAATGAACAGCATACTGTGTGAAAGTTGTGCCAAATGAAATTTTATTCCCCTCTTAATAACAGTCAAAGGTGGAAAGAGATGGCAAGTTGGCAGTGGCTTTTGTGACCTACAAGCAACACACCAGCAGGCCCTTTCCTGCATGACATTTCTGAAACTGTTGGTATTTTTAACAGGACCTATCCTGAAAAATCTTAACAGGCTCGTAAAAAGCCAGGCAGTCGGTCCCTCAGGCAGGCAGTCCTCAGTCTCTGCACGGCGTCAAGAGTTGAAATCAAGACCATGAGATCAGCCTGCTTATGCAACAAGAAGCCAGATCAGGTCTTTCAGACGTGGGGAACCTATGACCGCAAAATCTGGGGGGCCAGTCAGAGGCCACAGGTTGCCCCACTTGAACAGGGCTGCTCTTGTATTCTGTTATTTCAGTTCCGATATCCTTCCCTTTTCCAATAGGCTCGCAAGACTGGTTGAAAGGCTATCTCCACGGCCTCTCACATTAGATTGTGCAGTAGGGAGACCCTAGAGTTCAAGGCAAGGAGGACCATCCCAAGAGGCAGAGGGTGAAGAATTACTGCTTGAGTACAACCTGGAAAGATGGAGGGCCAGCTGACGATTGGATTTCTTTAGAAAAAGGATTCTGCAAAAGGATTTCCTTTTAAAGGGGTACCCATTCAACTTCCATGAATGAAACCATGCTTGCTGATTATATCAGGCCAAAATAACAAAAGCAGAAATATCTTTACTATTAAGAATAACCAGGAGGCATACTTTATTATGATCAGCTCTCCACCATCCTCTACCATAATTTACAGTGTACATAAAAAGGAAAATAAGAAAATGTGGAAATTTTATTATCGCATGAAGTGACTGTGGAAAAAGGTCACCACCATCTTGATTTCTCCAAAACTCCATTGACAAAACAACAACTTTACAGGTGGAAGGGTCTCCATGCTGTAAAAGTCAGTCATACCCACTAAAAGGAAAGTGGAGTGGAGCTAATTTTCTCATGAATTGGGGTAAGATGAAATAAAACTGAATAGTCAAAACTTGTCAATGACTTCAACAACAACAACTGCAATAATTCTCCTGTGTAGGCTTTCCTCGTCTACAATCTGTGATGTAAATTGGAATTGAAACATTTTCCACAACCCTGGCATTTGTTTGGTTTCTTTCCTGTGTGGATTTTCTCATTCCACGTGATATCAGACTTAGAAATAATAACCAAAACTTCCTGAGTCTTGCATTTATATGACCTGTCTCTTGTGTCCCTGAAGGTGTAAATTCTGAGCAAAATGTTCCCTGTACTCCTGGCATTTATATTTCGCTCCAATGTGGACATTCTGGTGTATGAGAAGTTGTGTACTCTGAGAAAAACATTTCCCACAATCCTGACACTTGTATGGCTTCTCTCCACTGTGGAGTCTCTGGTGAGTCAGAAGGTTTGCATTGTTAGCAAAACACTTCTCACACTCTTGGCATTTGTATGGTTTCTCTCCAGTGTGGACTCTTTGGTGTCCGAGAAGGTGGGAACTCTGGGCAAAGCATTTCCCACATTCTTTGCACTTGTATGGCTTCTCTCCAGTGTGGACTCTCTGGTGTGTCAGGAGGTTTGAATTACGATTAAAAGATTTCCCACACTTCTGGCATTTGTACGGTTTCTCTCCTGTGTGGACTCTTTGATGTGTCAGGAGGTTTGAATTGCGATTAAAACATTTCCCACAATCACGGCATTTGTATGGTTTCTCGTCCAACTGGGGTTTTTCATGCGTCATGAGGTGTGAAACCTCAACTAAACCTTTCTCACAATCTTGGCATTTGTGTGGTTTTTCTCCGGTGTAGACTCCTTGGGGTGTGAGAGGACTTGAAGTCTGAGCAAAACATTTCCCACACTCCTCACATTTGAATATTTTGCGTCCTGTGTGGATACTCAGGTGTGCAAGAAAGCTTGAATTGTAAGTAAAACATTTCCCACACTGCTGGCATTTATACGCTTTCTCTTCTACGTGGAGTCTCCGGTGTCTCAGGATGTTTGAATTGTGATTAAAAGATATCCCACGCTCCAGGCAATCATAATGTTTCTCTCCTGTGTG